GGGTAAAAAGGCAGGAATGAATCCTGTTAAGAACGCAGCCCACAGGGAAGTTAAAATCATTAATATATGTATATATAGATTTCAAGATAAATGTAATATATTGTATCAAGAGAAAGAAACAAAGAAACATGGTCATCTCAATTGATGTAGAAAAAGCATTTGTGAAATTCAATACTTTTTCATGATATAACATTCAATAAAACTAGGAATAGAAGGACACTTCCTCAATATGATAAAAAGCCATATGCAAAAAACCCACAGCCAACATCACACTCAGTGGTGAAAACTGAAAGCTTTCCCTCTAAGATCAGGAACAAGGCAAGGATGTCTGTTCTTGCAACTTCTATTCAACTTAGTGCTGGAAGTCCTAGCCAGAGCAATAAGACAGGAAGGAGAAACAAAGGAATTCAAGTTGTAAAGGAAGAAGTAAAACTATCTCTGTTCACAGATGATGTGATCTTCTACGTAGAATACTCTAAAGATTCCACAAAAAACACTGCTAGACCTAATTAATAAATGTCCTCTCAAAGTTGCAGGATACAAAATCAATAGGCTATATCTCTATACACTTACCACAGTCTGAAAAGGAAATTAAGAAACAATCCTACTTACATCAAGCAGAATAAAATAAAAGGGAATAAATTTAACTAAAGAAGCAAAAGACTTGCACACTAAAAACTACAAAATATCACTGAAAGACATTATTGAAGACCTAAATAACTTGGAAGACATTTCCATACTCACAGACTGGAAGACTTAATATTACTGAAATATCTATACCATACAAAGTGATCAAAGTGATATACAGATTAAATGAAATCTCTATCAAAATCTCAACAGTGGTTTTTTTTTTTTTTTAGAAATAGAAAAACTGATCCTAAAAATATAAATTTTTGGAATCTCAAAATCCCCAATAACCAAAATAATGTTGGGAACAAAAAGAATGAAATTGGAGGACTCACACTTCCAGATTTAAAAACTTATCATGAAGCTATTGTACTCAAGACTGACATAAAGACAAACATAGACACCAATGGAATAGAATAGAGATCACAGAAATAAACCATTGCTTATAGTTTATTAGTTATAATAAACTTATAGTTAAAACTCAGTCCTTGGAGGTTGGGGAGAGGGAGAAATCAGTGGCAGATGCAATCATTCAGCTGCTTGGGTGTTCACCCCAGTGTTGCTCAATATTATGAAAACTTGCTTATGTTATCAGTTGATTTTTGACAAGGGTGCCAAGATTATTCAATGGGAAAAGGACAGTCTTTTCAACAAATGGTGCTGGGAAAACTGGATATACACATGCAAACAGACGAAGTTGGGCCTTTATATCAATTTATATATAAAATAGCTCAAATGGATCAAAGACCTAAACATAAAGGATAAAAGTATAAAACTCTCAGGAAAAAACAGGCAGAAATTTCCACAACATTGGATTTGGCAATGATTTGTATATGACACCAAAATAAAAAAAAGAAAAATGGGTAATTTGACTTTATCAAAACTTAAAAATTTTGTGTCTCAAAGGAAACCATCAAGAGAGTGAAAAAGATAAACCACAGAATGGGAGAAAATATTCACAAATCATATATCTTATAAGGGATTAATATACAAAATGTGTAAAGAATACCTACAACTCAACAACAACAAAACAAAAAAACCAATGGGCAAAGGACTTGAACAGACAGTTTTCCAAAGATCTGCAAATGGCCAATGAGCATATGAAAAGATGCTGAAAGTCACTAGTCACTAAAATTAAAAATTTTTTAATGTTCTTATTTATTTTTGAGAGGGACAGAGAGCAAGCAGAGGTGGTGCAGGGAGAGAGGGAGACACAGAATTCAAGGCAGGAGCTAGGCTCTGAGCTGTCAGCACAGAGCCTGATGCGGGGCTTGAACTCACAGACCACGAGATCATGACCTGAGCTGAAGTCGGACAACAAACAAACAAACACACCCAGAAAAGATTAACTCTTTGTGAGGATGTGGAGAAATTGAAAAATTTGGTCATTGCTGGTAGGAACATAAGATAATGTAGCTGCTAGGGAAAAGTTTGGCAGTTTCTCCAAAAAGTTAAACATAGGATTACCATAAGATTCAGCCATTCCACTCCTAGATATATACCTAAAAGAACTGAAAGCAGGACTCTAATAGATACTTGTTCACCCATGTTAATAGCAATATTAGTCACAATAGCCTAAAGATGGAAGCAACCCAAGTGGCCATCAACAGTTGAATGGAGAAACAAAATGTGGTGTGTACATATTATCGAATATTACTGAGCCTTAAAAAGGAACAAAAATTCTGACAGGTGCTACAACATGAACTTTTTAAACATTATTCTAAGTGAAATGACAATGTATGATTCCACTTACATGAGGTACCTAGAATAAGCAAATTCACATAGACAAAGTAGAATAGAGGTTACCAGAGGCTGGGGCAGGGGTAATGGTGCGGAGTGTTTAATGGGTACAGTTTCTGTTTGGGGTGATGCCAAAGTACTGGAACTGGGTGGTGGTGAAGGTTGCACAACAGTGTGAATATACTTATACATAAAAATGTTTGTTTGTTTGTTTGTTTTTTTAAATGTTTTTATTTTTATTTCTAGGAGAGAGAGAGAGAGACAGCGTGAGCAGGGGAGGGTCAGAGAGAGAGGGAGTCACAGACTGAAACAGGCTCCAGGCTCTGAGCTGGCAGTCAGCACAGAGCCCGACGCGGGGCTCGAACCCACGAACCGCGAGATCATGACCCAAGCGAAAGTCGGACGCTTAACCGACTAAGCCACCCAGGCGCCCCTAAAAATGGTTTTTAAAAAGGGTAAATTTTATGACGCGTATATTTTATTACAATTTTAAAAATATATACATAGAAGATGGCCTGAATGAAAAAAAGCAATTGGAACCAAAAGAAGTGATTTCTGATGGCCTGGCCTAGTTGGATTAGTTTTTGTTTGTTCGGTTATTTTTTTTTTTTTTTAATTTACATCCAAGCTAGTTAGCATAGAGAGCAACAATGATTTCAGGAGTAGATTCCTTAACGCCCCTTACCCATTTAGCCCATCCCCCCTCCCACAATCCCTCCAGTAACCCTCTGTTTGTTCTCCATATTTAAGAGTCTCTTATGGTTTGTCCCCTTCCCTGTTTTTTATGTTATTTTTGCTTTCCTTCCCTTATTTATGTTCATCTGTTTTGTATCTTAAAGTCCTCAAACTCAACACCCAAAAAATCCAAAATAATCCAGCAAAGAAATGGGCTAAAGACATGAACAGACACTTCTCCAAAGAAGACATCCAGATGGATTAGTTTTTGACAGGAGCCCGCTGCCTGCTCTCTGCTGACCGGCCTGGAGTTGGCCTGAGCTGCCTAGTGCCTGAGGTAAGCCAAATTGTCGGGAACTCCCGCTCTCCTTTGAGGCAGGAAGTTTAAATTATCAGGTCAATTAGGAAAGATACAACCGAAAAATACAAGTTTCATTCACACTTCAAGGAGGCGTTTCCTGGCTGGGTGCCACTTTTATTATTTTTGGCCGAGGCGGCTGGAAGCCCCACAGACCCAAGTAAAGGTACAATGTGATCTTTGATTCACGTTTCAAAGATCAAAGAGAGTCAGTTTGGGTGTAAATGCAGATAACATTTCAGAGATGGTTTCATGAAAGGAGTCACTAGACCAGGACAGAAAGGGAGCTGGTCTCTTACGCATGTATTCGCCTTGAGAAACATCTTTTTCCAGGGGATTCGGCTGTTGATGGCCCCAATAACTCCTGGCCTGCATCCAGGTCCTTGGCTCACACGGCACTAGGGTTTTGGGCTGGGGGGCAGATACCCTCTCCCACCTCTTGTCTAGGCACCTTAAGCACTGGGAGAGGAGGCATGGGGCGGTGCCCATGAGGACACCCAACCTCATGCTCCACTCACTTTCCCAAAGTCTCTGGGTGCTTGAATGAGCATGCCACTCCTGGGTAGCAAACTTGGCCTTGGCGGCCTGCCCTCATTGTCCTCAGTCCAGCCTCGACCTGAGTAGGGCAGCACAAACACACCCCCTAGAAAACTTACAGGCTTCCCCCAACCCCGCTTACTAGCCTCTAGGCACCCAGGTGGGGGCGTCCTGGCGGCCAGCCCAGCCCCGCCCTCTCACTCCTGGGCGGAACGGGGGAACGTAGGCAGAACCAGGCCCTACGTTTAGAGCATGGGGCGCTGGGTGGTGAGAGGCATTTTCCACCGAAGCGCCTAAGGCCCTCTATGCCCAACCCTCCCTAATGACCTCTGTTCCCAGCATCCCTCCTAACGCCCCAGTGCAAAGCTGATTTGAGGGCAGTGGCAACCGCTTCAACATCCCTGGGGGAGCCAGGTGGGTGCCCCGCCCCTCCCTCCTCCGATGGATTCCTCATCCCCAGCGCGTTTCGCGCTGGCAAGCTGGACAACATCTGCCCTGGCCACCCCACGCCTGCCCACGCTGCCCGGTTCGCTCTAGGCACTTGGCACGGAGTCTCGGGGATGAGCGCGCTCCCATGACTCCCCGCGCCTCATTGCCGCGCTGGCAGGGCCTGGCAGCGCCTGCGCAGCTACGTGCCTCAAGGCTCACAGCGCAGGCGCAGCCCTGGAGGGAGACCAGTGTGGGACGCGCCGGGAACTGGCGCGGGGACGTATGGGGCGGCCACGCGCACGCTGGGGGCGTGGCTGTGCGAGGTGGTTAGACTCGGAGGGAAGATCCTGCCTTAGCGCGTGTCGCAGAGTTTAGACAGAGGGTCAGTGGGTCGGCGGGAACCCGAGTGCCTGGAGGGCCCATTCCATTCTTCCCGACTCCCTGTACGCGGAGAGGAGCTCGGAGCCTTCGGACTGAGTCCCTGTTGCCCTTCGAAAAGGCGGGCCTCAGTTTCTCGGTCCGCGCCGTGAGCGGGGGGAGAGCCTGGAGTCATTTTCGGGTGTCTTCGGAGGTCGCCCCCGCGCCCTTCCTCACCTCACGGCGGCCGATCTTGTTCTACGCTTTTTAGGTGGCACTTGAAGTCTCGCCCTGGGAGGGAGACGGGTCCGCAGTCTGGCCGCAAATCCGTGGACCCTCTTCGCAGACGCCTCGCGGAGCCTCAGGTCGGTTGGCTTCTTTTTGCAATGGGATTTGTGAGCTCATATCCCCGCGGTTTCCTGCATGGCGTTTGCGAGAGGGATGGTGCAGTGGTTTGCGCTTCACTTGCTGTGAAGCTTTGGGCAAGTTTTTCTACCCCCGGGGTCCCTGGTCTCCTGGGAGCGGAGAACGCTCCAGCGTTGTAGGGGCTGGCTTTTGGCTTTGCGAGAGCAAATGCGTGTGCGTCCCGGTACCTGCTCCTTGAGTAAAGCGCTGTGCAGTCCAGGAGAAGGGCCCAAATTCCTCAGTGTTAGGGTTGGGAGAGAAGGAAGAGGGGCCAACAGACTAATAGCTGTGGGATGGCAAAGGTTCTCATTAAGTGTTAAGAGACTCAAGCTTAGAAAGGTTCAGGGCCAAGGGAGCTGGCTGGTTGGCGCAAGGGAGCCTCCTTCCCTGAAGCTACAGGGGTACACAGGCATGCTGATGGGCAGGCAGGGGACAGCTAGGGTTCTGACCGGGGGTGGGAATTTGGGATTGGGAGGAAGCCAGGGCAGAGACCTGAGTAGTGCACTGTGTCCTGAGCATGGGATGTGGTTTTTGCACACAGCCTGGCACTTACCCTTAGGCTGGTGGTAGGAGCTGGAGTGTGGTTCGTGGTTACTGGCATTCATGGTCATTGTTTTTCAGAACTTGATGAGGGACTGGACTGGTCTCCCAAGTGGATTGCCATTTGTGTGCTGCCCCTTGAGCCACTGCTGCTGGCAGGCTCTGTCGTATTCTTTTTCTCTGTTAGGATGGGAAGGCTTTCAGGTGGAAGAATCACCCCTCAGAGTGGGGGCCATACCTGAGAGGTTTCAGGATACTTAGGTAGCCCTAGAAGAGGTAGGTGCTGGTGGCCCTAGAAGCTTCAGATGCTGCAGGCCACCCTGGGAGGTGCTCAGCAGAAAGATCAGCAGAGCTGTGTCTCCCTGGAGGAACTCACTCTGATGGGTGCAGGGGTAGATTAACACATAGGCAACTATGCACGAAGGTGTGTGCAGACCACGGTGTCCCTAGGTGTGAGTTGATGGAGCATTGGGGTATGTGTGGAGGGGTTGGAGTGTGTGTTCTTTGGCAGCTATGAGTGGACCTCCCATCGCAGAGATACTGGGGAGGTGGCCACAATCAGGCTAGGCAGTGAGAGAGCCCTGAGAGAGGGCTCCTGGCATTGGAAGAGAACTGTACTTGTTGATGTTTACAGCCTCCTTTCCCACTTCGGGGCTCTTTTTACCTCTCAGGGTCCATGACCCCTGCTCTCCAGGCCCTTTACTGGAGTGACTTTGGGGTGGTGAAAGAAGACATAGCAACGGGATCAAACCTGAGGGATTGGATCCTGGGCTGTTGACAAGGATGAGGGCAGGGAGGTGGTGTTCGGGGTGAGGGTGGTGGTGTAAGCAGGCTGGACTCTGAGTGGTGAGGTGAGTCTGGAAAGCATGGGTGGGGAACCCGGTGGGCACAGAGATTAGTGGGACCCCAGGCTTCTGTCTGGCATGCAGTAGCTCCTTCCAAGCTCCTAGTGCTTTGATGTAAAAGGATCTTGTGATATGGTCTGCTTACTTAAAACTCATAGTGTTTGGGGTCACTAGGGGCTTCCTTCTCAGTGGAGTGCTGGATCACCAGCATGGTGATGTGTGGTGGTTGATCATATGGTCTTTAGAGCCAGGTTCAGCCGCCTCTGCTTACTGATTGGTGTGTGGCTGCAGACAAGTGACTTCACTCACCATTCTGCCTCTGGTAGGATAAGAGTATCAGCCTCATCAAGGGGTCAGTGTTTGCCATAGATAGAGCACTCAGTTAAAGGTTGCTACTGTCGTTCTCCTGAAAATCCCTGACAGCTAGCTGGGCCGTCCAAGGAAGCCCAAGGGGTTCTGATCTGGCCCCTTTTCCTTCTCCTGAGACTGACAGCATCTGCCATCACACCTTGCCCACAAAACATCACAGGTGGCATTTGCCCACCTTCTCAGACCTCTCAGGCCTGCCTCCTGGGCCCTCCTTCCACTCACAGCTCCTAGTGGGGTACTTGGGGTTTGCCTGTGTATTGCCTCCTCCTGCTGCACGGTGGAGATGGTTGGGCCTAGTTCCCGCTCTTCCCCACCTTGTTTTTGGACAGGATTGCCTTGGATGGTGGCCTGCATCTGACAGTCCCATCAGCTCTTCTCAGCTCTCCTGAGGCCACAGCTGTCAGCTCCTCTGACCCTCAGCACTTGCCTGGAACATCTGGGTTTGCCAGACACCTCTTCAGCCCATCTCTGTCCTGTTGTGTCCTGCCCACCCTCTCCGCTGCGCCATCTCTTCCTTTCTTCCCCCTTCCTCTTCTAGTCCTCCCCTTTGCCGCCCAGCATGCCTCATGGCCGGTGCCATTGGCACGGCCCTCGCAACCCCATCCCAGCAGCAGCCAGTTACGCCAATATACACCCTTGGCAGCAGATGGATCAGGTCTCTCTTGGGGTCACATATGCCTCCCCTAGTGGATCCCTGGATTGAGCGGCCCTGCTGTGGGGACCCTGTATTCGTGCATATAACCATGGAGCAGAAGAGCAGGGCCAGCAGTGCTCCTGGTGGTAAGCCCACAGAAAGGGGACCCCTGGCTCTGTGCATGCCCAGCCCATGATCCCTCAGGGTGAACTTTCACTAGGTGCCAAGCTCGGACCCAGGAACCTTTGATGATTCTCCATGGCTTGTGGACTAATTTTGGGCTCCGTTGGGCGATTACATGTCCTTTTGCTTTGAGAACTGTCAGGACAACCTCAGCCACGTCTGTGAGATCCTTGGGCACCTGACCAGCCAAGCCCGGGCGGAGCGGCCCCCTACCTCGTCGGGGACCTGCCCCTTCCTGACGATTATGAGCTCTTCTGCCAGATCTCAAGGATGTCATTCAAGACCTGAACAGTTTCGCTGAGTACCATGCTGCAGTGCCTTGTCCCCTGGTCCCCGCCTCCAGCCAGCCACCAGTGGCCCCGCAGCTGCCTTTGGTGAGGCGGTACTTAGCTAGGTATCCGGAGGCCCTGGCCTTCAACATGGATGTTGTCCCAGTTGCTGCGGCCACCCTTGCTGTTTATAGTTCCAACTCTGCATCCAGAAATGGTCTCCTGAGCAGCAGCTGGCCAAGGGGAGCAGCCTTGGGTCTATGGAATCCCCCATCTTGTCTAGTTCTGCACGCAGGACTGATCCTGGTCCTGTGGGGCCAGCTCATCGCAACCAGGGTAGGTGGCCCCCACACCTGTCCCTGCACTTTCAGGATCTGCTAACCCGCCTGCCCAGAAACCAGACCCAGTTCCACCAGGGGGTCCAGAAACCCAGAAGACAAAGGAAGAAGTTTCTGAGACAGAGGGAGATCAGAGGCAGCCTTAGGTACCTCCCAGCAGGTGGCAGACACCCCAGAGACCCCAGGAGAGCTAGCAGTTTCTCTTACTCCCTACCCCACAGCCCTGGATTCAGAACACAGCCCAGGCAGATGCAGTAGTGCCCCTAGTGATGAAGTGGCCTGCATAGCTGAGAAGCCCCACAGTGCCCCAGCAGGACAGAGTGGCATTGCCAGATGACTCTAGCCATAGTGTGCCAGGTAGTGCCTTATCCGCTTGCTTTATTGCTTTATTGGAGGTGCACCCAGTTGGGCTCTGCGCTGTCAGAACACAAACAGCCCCCTTGTTGTCTTCACCACCCCCACCTTCTCTTATAGTAGAATATTGAGCTCTACCATGTGTCCCTCATTCTCTGACTTCTCCAGTCACCCAGAGGCTGCCTCCCACTAGGTTCTCAGCTGCATTTCCATTAGTTGGACAGAGTTCCATACAGCAGTCCCCATTCAGATATCTGTATGTCTTCATAACCACCCCCCTCCACAGACCCCTCATTCAATGTTGGCTGGACTGGACTAGGTCTGCCATGCCAGCCCTGTTTGGATCTGACCCTGGATGGTATCTCTACTTAGGCCTCCTTTCCCACCTTGGCTCCCTGTGACCTTTGTCCTCTGGGCTAGAATTTGAGGAAGGCTGCATGGAGCAAGTGGCCACTTTGATCACTTAGTACTAGCGGGATGGCAGAGAAAGATGTTGTTTCCCTATGGGTATGCCAGCAGCCTGGGACAGCTAGGGAGTTGGGATACAAGCCTCCTTGCCAGTCTTAACTAAGTTCCAGGCATTTTCCCCATCTGTATATTAACATTGTAGTCACGCCTGGTGTTTTCAGAAGTTAGTGAATTTCTGTGTCTCAGTGCCTTTGCCCCTGTTGCCCTCCCACTTTCTGCCCTTCAGCATTCCCTGCCTCCCTCCCCAGTGTTGGGCATTGCTGACTCAACACTTAAACCATAAGACTATAAATGACTTGTATCTGTGGTGGGTAGATTGTGAGCCTCTAGGGCAGGGGCTCCATCCTGAACAGCTTTGTGTCCCTGGTACACAACTGGTACTCATTAAACATGTTAAATCCATGGCCGACCCTGTGGTGTGATGGCAGCTGATGAGCAGAGCCCTTATTTTGTTGGCAGTAGCACTGTTGCCTGTTCTGTTGAGAACAGGCTAGGCCCTAGCCATGAGCACTCTAGGTTCAGTGTTGCAGGTGTGGTTTCTGGTGGGTGGGGGCTTTGAAAATTCAAGGATCTCGTTGAAGGAACCAGTTGGGTTGAATAGGGGGGAATGGGAGTCTTGGCAGGTGGTGTGTGGCCTTGAAAACTGACTTCCTAGAGCTGGAGTGAAGGAGCAGGCAGCAGACTAGAGCTGTGAGGCCAAGGGGCTAAGAGGATTGGAATGACGAAAGATCTGTTCTACACAGGATGGGTTTTCTAATGATGAGAACTGAGCTCAGAAGCTCCCTCAAGCCAAGTTTAACACAGGATGGGTACAGTGCACCTACTCTGAGGAATGATTAGGCAAGAATGCCAAGCCCCTTCAGTTTTACAGCTAGAAACAACACTTTTCTGGAAAGTAGGAAGAAAAAATAAAGTGGAAGCGTGAATTGCTGTTAAAACTATTAGAGAAAAAAATAGTAATAAGCAAACATCTGGTAAAAATAGACATTGTTGGGATTATTTTATTTAGTAATTATCACTTAAAAAGGCTCTGGGTTCACATGGTTTTATGCATGAGCTATTTTAAGGCACAGATGGCTTGTAAATAAAAACAGTTGAAAATCTTAGAAATAGGTGGGAAACTGATATAACCCAAAAACCAATCAAGCAAGCCCACAGAAGAAATCACTTTGCAGTCGTAGTTCTGAGCAAGTGTGGGAAATCCCTGCATATTGTAGCCCAGCCCCAGATGCACTGCTACCCCTCCACAATTGCTCATGTCTGGACCCTCCTTTTGTAGACCCAGGTCAGACTGCTTCCCACTCCCTGTCCTGCCAATGGGTCTGATATTGTTGGCGATATTGTTTGAGCCAGTAAGATGCCTCTGACAGTAGAACCAGGAGGTGCTCTCTGGGATGATGGCCCCATCACTTAGTTGACACTCACACTGTTGCTGGCATCTGTGCAGGCCACCTTTCTCATCTACATTTAGTGGACCTGAAATGAATCCCTTCACCTCAAGATTGCCATTTTCCTTTGGCCCCTCTGGCCCTGTGGACTTTTTCTCCTTTGGGCCCCAGGCAACTCCTATAGGCTTGGTGTGTAGTCTGGCATACCTCTCCTGAGGGTCCCCTCTCCCAAGGCAGGCTCAAGAGGATCTGTGGAGAGACTAGATGACCTGTGTTTTAATTTGGAAAATGTCTTCTATTGTGGTTGAACCCTTGCCACAAAGAAAGAGAAAGGAGGTCAGGGTCTCAGTGGCAGTGGCCACTTGAAGGTGGGATCAGGAGAGTACGGGAGGGCTCTGGCCTGGCCTTGTAGATGGACAGTGCATATGGTATTGCAAAGTGATAGTTTCATTGCCAGCCAATGCTGTGCCCCGTCTTTGGACATATGCAGTGACCGAGCTCCTTTGCCATTCTGAGCGGGGAGGAAAAGGCCGGAAGGGAAGGCCTGCCATGCATGATGAGAGGAGGATCCTTGGGCCATTCGCCACTCCTGGCTCTCACATGGGGGAAGGAGGAAGGTGCTCCTGGGTGCAGGACAGTCTGGCAGTGTTTGCTGTTGTGCTTGGGGTCTGGCTGATGTGCTTGGGCCTGCCTACCAGATCATCAGATCTGTCCTTTACTTGCCTTGGAAATATCTGGAGATTTTATTTCCTAAAGATATGATATTTGTGAGCTCTGTGGAAGGGTTTTTAACATACATGTCTCCAAGGCAAACTTTAGCACCAGAAGTATTAAGGACAAGGTCTTATGAGATACAGAACTTTTTATAAAGCTGCAGCAATGAAGGTACTTGAAATTGGTGTGGATGGATGAACAGAGAAGAATAGAGAACTTTGAAATAAAGCCAAATAAAGGCAGGAATTTAGTTCATGCATAAAGGTATTGTTTCAAATTAATGGGGGTGAAATGGATTATTCACTAAAAGGAGTTGGAACAACTGGTTAGCCATCTGGAAAATAGTAAAACTGGATACCCACCTCACTCTGCCAGGCTCTACTCCAGATGGACTAAAGATTTCAATATTTGAAAAATAAAAGTACTAGAGGGAAGTATGGTGAATTTTTTTTTTCTGCCTGTGATCCCAGGACTTTAAAAGTTCTAGATATCCAGAATTGTTGAAGGCATAGAGAAATAAGCTTTCTCTTGTTGTTGGTGAGAATATCAAATACTATAGTTCACCCACATAACATTTCTAAGTGTGCAGACCCTGATCACTTGCCTACGTGCAGATGGCTGTTGTTCATTCCTTGGTGTGGAGCTTTAGAGCATGGACTTGAGCTCCACTTGCCAGCTCGTGGTCCTTGGTGTCACCTGACCTCCTAGGGTATTGGGAGGATTGAATAAAATAAACCCCACGCAGTTGTCTGAGCTCTGTGGACTGCCTACTGGCAGTCACTGTATTAACCGCAAACCTAAAAATATCCCCATGGTCCTATAGTAAGGAACAAGGTAAATAAAGCTCTTGTCCCGTCATAGCAATCAGGGTGGGCCATATTGTGCTGCAGTAAACACCTCCCACATCCCATCACTTACCTGTCACAGATCAGCTGGGGTGCCCTCTGCCTGTTACAGAGGACCCATGCTGATAGGAGCTCACTGGACACATTTCTCCACAACCACAGAGGCAAAGGAAAGACCACAACGAATCACAAGTGATACTTGTCCCCCCTTTTCTGTTCCCATGGCCAAAGGAAGCTGCCAAACCACACCTGAGTTCCCACACCTCATCCCCTGAGGGATGAGCAGCTTATATCCCTATGGGGTGGGGCCATCAGCATGGAGAAGATGAACATGACATTCAGTGGTGCAGCCATCAACAAAGTGGGGCCAGGCTGTGTCAATAACCACGGGAAGATGCCTGTTTCCTAAGGCTGCATGGCTTAAACTACAGAATGTATTTGTCACAGTTCTGGAGGCTGGAAGCCCAAGGTCAAGGTGTCGGCAGGGTTGTTTCTCCTGAGGTCTGTCCCCTTGGCTTGTGATGGCCATCTTCTCCCTGTGTCTTCACATGGTTGTCCTTCTGTGCTCTAACTCTGTCTTATGAGGACATTAGTCATATGAGATTAGGGGCCACTCATATAACCTCATTTAACCTTAATTATGCCTTTGAAGACCTTGTCTCTAAATGGAGTCACTCTCTGAGGTAGTGGTGGTTAGGACTTCAGTGTGAATTGAGGGAATAATGGCCAGAATGGATTTCTTGTTTTTCTTTTTTGCAATTTCAGACAGTGTTGTGGTGAGCACCCTTTGAGCACCTCTGAGTGCTGGCGTGCAGAGCCGCCCCCCCCCCCCCCCCAGGCCACGGCAGCAGGACATGCCCAGTAATGTCTGGGAACTCTTTTTTTAATTTTTTTAATGTTTTATTTATTTTTTAGAGAGAGAGACAGTGTGATCAGGGGAGGGTCAGAGAGAGAGGGAGATACAGAATCTGAAGCAGGCTCCAGGCTCTGAGCTAGCTGTCAGCACAGAGCCCAGTGCGGGGCTTGAACCCACAAACCGTGAGATCATGACCTGAGCCGAAGTCGGACACTTAACTGAGCCACCCAAGCGCCCCTTTTTCTTCTTCTTTCAGAAATTTGTGAGTACTGGAAGGTAGAGACATTACCCTGTATTTCCCAGTTTTACTTATTGATTTTTTAATGTTTTATTTATTTCTGAGAGAGAGAGAGAGCATGAACAGGGGAGGATCAGAGAGAGAGGGAGGTAACCGACTGAGCCACCCAGGTGCCCCAATATTTCCCAGTTTTAATGTTTTGCCTTTTACATCAACTCTTGAGTTAGCTTGTAACTAATGGCATGGCGGGCAGAGGGCTGCTGTGGCCATTGGATGGCCAGTGATGCGCAGGGCCCCTCCGCCCACCTGTGCTGGACATGTAGTAGGAGTGGGGAATCTGATATGTGGAGCTGCTGAGTTTGGGGGCTTGTGTTTTCTACAGTGTGACCTATTCTACCCTGACCAGCAGAGGACCCCATCTCACCTTTTCCCATGGGGCACAGACCTGCCAGCATCAGGTTTAGGATGCCTTGCTGGCCCAAAGTGTCCATGGTGCTGTCTTTCTCATACACACCTGGCTCTCTGGTCCAGTCTGTCCCTCACCAATTATCTAATTTTATAGTGAGTCTTCATTATTTGGTAGAGAAACATTCCCACTACCTCCCCACCCCTGATGCCTTGTTCTTTAAATTGTCTAGGGGAACCTGGGTGGCTTAGTAGGTTAAGCATCCGACTTTCGCTTAGGTCATGATCTCGCAGTTCGTGGGTTCGAGCCCCGCCTCGGGCTCTGTGCTGACTGCCAGCTCAGAGCCCGGAGCCTGTTTCAGTCTGTGACTTTCTCTCTCTCTGACCCTCCCCTCCTCACGCTGTCTCTCTCTCTCTCTCTCCTAGAAATAAATAAAACATTAAAAAATTTTTTTTTAAAAATTGTCTAATTTTAAAAACACGTATCATTGTAAACACAGAGGTGATGTGTCCATTGCTCGGCTCCAGCAGTGGTCAGTTCTTAAACTGGGGCCGTCATGTTGGTGGACTGCCTGGCTAAGCATGCTGTCCTGGACAGCGGGAGTCTTGAGCTCACTTTCTCTTTGGGCTGTGCTTTCCTCATTTGTAAATGGGTGGTGTGAGCTCTTGTAGAAGGCTGTTGATGGTGAGTCTGGGAGGAGCCCTTGGCCTGCAGGGTGCCCTTGACAGCCTATTCCTTCTCTCCTGGCCTCAGGGGTACACAGCCAGGGCTGGGGCCTGTGGGTGGTGGGTGCTCATCCACTTGCCAGGGGCGCCCACCAGACAGTGGAGAGAAGCATCCTGGGCTGCTCTCCCCCATGTGCCCCAGCAGCAGGGGGCCTGGGCTGACAGTGACACACTCTGCCACACAGGTGGCAAAGGGCAGGTGCTTGTGGTCAGCACAGGAACGCCTTTTA